CGCCCATCTCTTCCCTATATATATTACTCACTCACCCACGCCAACGTCTTATTCGGCCAGCTGGGTCGCGCGTGATCAACTCAGGAATAAGAGTGTTTTTTTTTTTTTTTTTTTTTTTTTTTTTTTTTTTTTTTTTTTTTTGTTTCCTGTTTCTAAATACATATTTGAATTTGGTGACCAAAAACTTTTATCTTTATATCACCATGAGAAGGAAATAACTGACAGAATAAAAGTTTGGTTTATTTTAATTATAGTAAAGCACTCGAGGGTCATCTGCCTAAAGGGAGGGATGCTTTCGTGGAAGACTTCCTAAGAAAAACTTGCTCGTATACACGTTACACATGTGAAAAACACGAAAACGCCCATACAACCAGACCGTTTCGAAACCCGGACCGAACTACCAGTGTTCAGCGACTTTACAGCTCAGCCGCTGGTAGGCCCAGAATAAAGAAGTTTGCATAAGAAGATTTGTATATGCATATCGTTTTGCCTAAAATAGCAATACTCGTTTGGGAGGCCAGAAGAAGGATATTCGAATGATATATACAACTAGCGCTAGTCATTTAAAAATTAAAATGCATCCACTTTAGGTATACGAGGGAACTGCGCGGCGAACTGCTATTGTCGCTAATTTTCAAGCCCAAAAACGCACCAAATGGAAAAAGAAGAATTTGCTGAGGATAAAATCAGGTCACATAACTATGCTTGATCACCCAGTAAAATAAATGCCGGTTTAAGATAACTTCCTTTCTGGAGATATTTTGAGATGTAAGTACGCCCCGCTTAGAGCATATTCCGAGAAAGAAGCAATAAAATAATTACGAAAAAGTAAGTTACTAGTTTCAATAGTTGATGAAACGGCTGGAAAATAAAGGATGAGTGTTTTGGTAGTCTTAATTTAGAAACAAAGTAGCACCCAACCCCCCCCTTTTCTTTCCTAGGCGAGTGAACATTGTTCTAGACTTTAATTCTTGCACTTGTTTCACCAGCAGTGAACAGGTTGAAAGAACGTGAAATAGAATACTCCCAAGGACCTAGTATCAGACTCTAGGCACTACATTATTACCTGCTTCAACATACTGAAAATATTTGATAGAAATCTACCAATACTCAGGACATAAAGCTGTAGATTCATTTCATTAGTTTATATATATATACTAGCAGCTTCACTGCTAGCCTTCGTCTAGCTTTTAAATATACCGGGAAAATGGCTGAAGGGAACACCAAACGTTAAATTTAAAAACTCCTCAGAAATTTACTCTGCAGAACAACTTCATAAAAAAACTTATTACGTATAACAAAATTACAATGAAATAAGCAATAGCCCTTAATACAAATATTAAATATCCTAATAAATAAATTAACCAACTTTCCTTTGCAAAATCTTAAGAACTCGTATGGTATAAAGGAGGTTAAGAACTGAAAGTAGTTGGGTGCTACTTCCTAAACAAATCACTCAAAACTTTTCAATAACTTAAAGACAGTGAAATGAGCAATAAATAACATAAAAGAATACAAAAAATTCTGAAAAGCAAAGTATAATTAATGATATTTTATCTTATATTTTCAAGAGAAAAAATTACAATGAAATAAGCTATATCCCTTAATACAAATATTAATTATCCTAATAAAAAAAAAGTTAACCAACTTTCCGTTGATATTAAAAAAAATAATGCAAAACATTTCAATATCTTACAAACAGTGAAATAAGCAAAAAATAACATGAAAGCAACTCAAAAAACATAAAATACCGCGCAGAATTTTACTCTACAGAACAACTTTATCCAAAAAATTCAATAAATATGTATTATATTTATATAAAAATAACAATGAATTATGCCAATCTCTTAAAAACAGTGACATAAGAAATACGATGAAAACGTGTTGCCAAACCCTTATTTCTAAAAGAATGAAACTATTCAAAATGATTCGATTTCATCAAAAATCTATCAACAACAATAAGAAAGGAAAATTGTTGCCAAAATCACATTTTCAAAGATGTGAGAAGTGTACTCGGAAGCTTCATTTAATTTTTTTTTTATTTTTGTAAAAACAGTCCCAAGGATGAAAGTTTAACGTATCCAAAAATCATAGAAAAATAAACTGTACACTTTAAAAAATAAACTTTTTTAGAAAAAATCCCGTTGAAAAGGTGTTGAGCTCATTTTGTTAAATAAATTCGTATTTAATCGATTTATTGAAACACGAAATTTATTTTAAAGTTCGTAAAATAGCTAAGTGCCTACGTTTCATGACGATGTGAAAATGGAGTGCGTAGAGTAAAATCTCGCTTTCCTATAGCCCATTATGTCTCAAAATGACGCGATTTCGTCACAAAACATAAAATAAAAAAAAATTCGAATTCGAATTTCGAAAAACTGGCTTCGAGGTGCACTGGCTCTTGTCTAGATGCACCTATGTACCAAATTTCGTAGCCGTGGGTATATTAGCTTACGCGCAATGCGAACGAAAGACACATTGACACACACACACAGACAAACTCTTTTATTATATGTAGAGATATATGTTGCACGTGAGAAATCAGCAATGTCCTCGTCGGGACTCGAACGTAGAACCTTTGAAAACGCGCCGAGTGTGCTACCATTACGCAACCGTTAATATGACAGAGCATAATCTGTAGTTACCCCTTCAAAACTACTAAGAACTTTGAATGTAAGGCAATACGAAACGGAAGCTCTCACGGTTATCTCTCAATCTAAACTCAATACTCTGAAATAAAACTAAAAACTGATATTCTTTCCCATCTTATATTGTTTTACTCTTCGCTGAGAAATTTCCAGATTTCTCGAAATTGCTAGAAGGCATATACAGTTACATACGGCCAGATGCAGTTACAATTACATAGGGATAAGAAGAGTTACAGTTATACAAGAATCAAACGAAGATGTCGCCAAGCTTGGCGACTTTTTGTGATTTCTCGCCCAATTTTCCTGCAAAAATAAATGGCTAAAACCATCGCCATCTTACGCTAACTTGCTAATTTAGCAAGAGAGGCATTTATTTACCTTAATGTAACTCTTGTGACCCTATTCTTTCCGGCGATGCTTCGCAATCTGATGCCTTTCATGGTACATTACAGAAGAGATACTACAATTTGCATATAATTTCGCTAAAATTATTCACATGTATACCTAATTCGTAAAAATAGCATTGTAGCTATACACAAACAATTTTTTGGCCCTGGAAAAAAAAATAACATCTCGATGTCGTAGCAAAATTTTATCCTGAGCTTATCTAAATTAAATGAAATTTTTGGTTTGAAATTGTCGTATGGATTATTTTCATTGAAAAAAGTATTATTTTTCCTTTTCTCGGTAAATACGAAGATGACAACTCAAGTATCGGTTTTCTAAAGGAATGTTTCAAAAATGAAATTCTGTCTCCAAAAATATGACGAGCTTATGTGACTTCCTTTTCTTCACAATTATGAAAGGGATTCAGAATATAGGAAGCTCAGATTGTGCATTCGCTTACATCCTATGGAGTCAGTTACAGTGGATGGACAAAAATGTGGAATCACCTTGTGAAATGCATGTTTGAAAAGAAAGATTGATTTTAATGAAATATGTAGGTGGCGCTGGCGTTTTTGACTACTGACGCCACCTATACAACTTCGTAAATATGATAAACAGTTCAGTTGTTGTCGGAGTACTGTTATGTGAGGTTGTCATTGCATTATATCAGAGTTAACAGACTTCGAACGTGGGCAAATTGTTGGAGCACGTATGGTAGGTGCTTCCGTAAGCAAGGTAGCCGAGGTGTTTAGTGTTTCAAGAGGTACTGTATCGAAGATTTATTCCGCATATTTGAAAAGCGGAAAAACATCATCTGCTAAATCACAGCGCGGACGAAAGTGTGTCCTGAGTGATCGTGACAGACGATCATTATGGCCAATTCTGACGACAAATAAGAAGACCACAGCTGCAAAAGTTACTGCTGAAATGAATGTTGTGTTACCGAACCCTGTGAGTACCAAAACAATTAGAAGGGAGCTTCATAAACAGGGAATTGCTGGCCGTGCTGCAATCGAGAAGCCACTCATCAGTGATGCTAATGCCCGTAACAGGAAAAGGTGGTGTTTAAGTCATAAAGCCTGGACCATAGAGCAGTGGAAGCGAGTAATATGGTCTGACGAGTCTTCTTTCACATTGTTTCCCACTTCTGGCCGAGTTTACGTCTGGAGAACGCCATCTCAAGCCTATAATACAGACTGCTTGTTGCCAAGAGTGAAACATGGCGGGGGTTCTGTTATGGTTTGGGCAGCCATATCGTGGTTCTCTGCTAGCCCCATGATAACTGTGTCAGGGCACATGACTGCCAAGACTTATGTGAACATTTTGGCCGATAAAGTTCATCCCATGGTACAAAGTTTGTTCCCGATGGTGATGGTGTCTTCCAAGACGACAAAGCCCCTGTTGCACACAGCTCACATTGTCCAGGACTGGTTTTCTGAGCACGAGGATGAGTTGTCCCATCTCCCCTGGCCACCACGGTCACCAGACCTGAATATTATCGAACCTTTGTGGTCTACATTGGAACGGAAAGTGCGTTCTCGTTATCCACCGCCAACATCGTTATCTGAACTTGTCACCGTTTTGCAGGAAGAATGGTATAATATTCCCTTGGCAAACATACAGGAACTGTATTTATCCATTCGGAGAATACTGCAAGCTGTTCTGGATGCCAACGAGTTTCCTACACCATATTAAGCAAAGAAACATGTTTTTTAAAGGTGTTTCCATATTTTTGTCCAACCCCTGTAAATGATTTAAGTGTAACTTCTTATTTATGATGAAAGTATTCTCCTCAGAGCGAAAAAAAAATGATTATTTTGGGGATAAAGCAGAATACATTTTCAGAAAAGAAAAGTGTGATATTCCTAAAGAAAAACTCCTAAACTTGAATAGAATATAAAATATCACCAGCTGTATTATATAGATAAGATATATTACTTATAAGAGTTACTTGTAGTCACTTACCTATCAGGTACGTTAGCTTCCAATGGTTTGTCTCCAATGCCTTCATTGTAATCCTAAGAATGTAAGAGTAACCCCAGTCCGTAATTATGACGTCACTGAATATAATTTCATTAGCTCCGTATTCTAAAATCTGTGTGGTTGTGCCGAGGAGCTGGCCAGGATAAATATCATCGTATAACAGGCCTATAGATCCTTCCCATGTATAACGCTGGAAAGGAAGCAAAATGCTCTAGGTCACTGATGTACAAATGCATCGATGCTGGGTTATACTTAAAAAATAGTAATAATAATAATTAAAAAAATTTAAAAATCTGAAAGGTTTTAGATTTTATAGTACGTTAGAACGGACTTTTTTGAAGTTTTATGTGTTACGTTTGTTTATTAAATATCGCATTTTCGCACTTTAACTATAAAATTCAATTCAACAGCAATATCTCAAAATATATAAAAAGAGCATATTTTTAAAACTTCCGATACACAGTCTCGCGCGCTGGAGATAAAAAAAAATTTCCGTACAGTTTTGCCATTGCTCGTGTTGAAATCGTCAAGATATAAGGGTTTTTTTTCCTCTCTCCTTTCTGCGTGTATTCGAAAGGTCCAGGTTCGAGTCCCGGCAAAGGTACTGCACATTTTTCGCGTCTTCTACTTCCAAAAAATCCTAATACCTCTGCAGAGTTTGTTAATCAAAAATGCTTTAAAGTTTCCAAAGTATAAAATAGATAATAAAACAAATTCCAAATGTGGGCTTTCAATTACCCGTATTCGAGTGGAGTGGAGGAATACGTTATTCAAGATTTGATTTGATGCCTCGAGGTACCGTTGTTTCTTAATAGTGGGAGAAACATACATACATTCATATAGACTCTTCGTTATTTAATTTCTTTAAATATAATAGAGGGTTCCAATATTTGGTTACACCAATAGAAAAGTGATACAGCCGTTTATAGTGGTTCGAATGTCATTTCAATTAACACCCATTTGGGTTAAAAAAAAAAAAAGAATTTTCCTGTTTTTCGTTTTAACAATAAATAGACAATATAAATTCACGTTAGCTTCAAATTTAATAGTTGCAAAAATTCGAACATTTCTTAATTTCAAACGAATTCCTTGTACGAAGTAAAAAGGAAGTATTATAATCGCGAAAAGTTTCAGGCAGCATATTTCAACAAAAACATCCATCTTGGCCGCTATAGAATGCAATTTAACGATGTTTTTGCGTGATATCTGTAAGTAAGGACAGAATAAAAGACTCTTTTCCTCCAAAAAAATTACAAAACTGCTTTAAAATGAAATCTGAAGAGAATTCTTCGTGGCGTCTGTACGAACGTATGTACGTACGTACGTATCTCGCATAACTCAAAAACGAGTAGCCTCAGAACGTTGAAATTTTGTATATAGGACTGCTATAACATGTAGATGTGCACCTCGTATTTTGGTTGGAATCGGCAGCACCAAACGTATATTGGTTGGAATCGGCAGCACCATATTTATATATATATCCACTTTGTTACCCGGCTCAGTGATATCGGTTTCTTTACTCTTATATGTTGGTAAATTGTACATTTTTTTGCTTTAAAATGATTGAATTATGGTGTTCTTATCTTCCGGTTAAGGTTTTTATGCCTTTAGTAAATCTCTATGCAATATTCTTAGAATTATCAACAATTTTGAAGTTGTTTAAGTGCCGCTAAGCCTAAGAATTGTTTTGATGGCGGCCATTGCTTCTTTACATTTGAAACAGCAGGATAGTGGATTTGTTGCCAATCTAGAGAAACTTAGCTTCGCAACAACAAAGATAACGCCTTCATTTATTTTTCCGAATTAAATCATGCTTAATCCTTTCTGGAATTTTTCCGAGGAAATAAGTGTTTAAGATTTACTTCGTAATTTTTAAATGAATGCATACAGAGCTAGTATATCTTATTTTAGAAAGTTGTTTCTCGATAATAACAGACTGGGTGATTCAAAATGAATACAGCGATTACAAACAACTATAACCATTTAACTGAAAAGAATGTATCAAAACGAATTTCACAGAATGTAAAAAGAAGTTCAAAATTTTGTTTATACAATTTAATACGCAAGGTCCTTTCAATGCTGTTATGCGGTTATTTCTATGTTTATGTATGACGAGCGGTAAACTCGCTGAACACTAGTATTTCGGTCCGAGGTTCGAATCCCGCGAACGGTCTGGCTGCATGGGCGTTTTCGTATTTTTCCCCATGTGTAACGTGTATACGAGCCAGTTTTGCTTAGAAAGTCCTCCACGAAGGCATCACTCCCCTTGGGAAGATAGCCCTAGTATGCTTTGCCATAATCTCAATAAACCAAACCAAACTATGTTTATGGCGTTATGATTCTATCATGTTTAATTTATCGCTTCACACTTTAAAATAAGTATGAAGCGAAACAAATTGGACACGGGCGATGAATAGAATGAGATACGAAGACGTGGAATATTTGCGGAAAAACTCATTTTCAGATCTCAAATGACTTGTAAATATGACTTTTCTTTTTAATATTCCTTTCCAAATTGTCATGTCTATGCATAAATTATAAATAAATAATATCCTAATAAAAATGTGTAGTAGGTAATTGTTTATTTTAAAAACAAAATGTTTGACTCGAAACTGAAATTAATGTCTAATATTCATGTCTCTTTATATGTCTGCTTTAAAATTTCATCTTCCATCTGAATTTCATCCTTTGATGTCTATACCTCAAAAAATTTTCAAAGTTTACACAGGGCAGACCTTTAGAGAATTATGATAATAGACAAATAAGCCTCTTTCATTTGAATGATTTATTCTGCTCCAAGGATGAATGAGAGAAATGTGCATAAATTATTACGTTCTTCGTTTTAAATAAATATGATAATACCTACTCGTACACTGCAAGGTTTAGAATAACTCGTAGCATCAGAGGATAATAAGTCTCAACCGATAACTCAGTGGATGAAAGATGTATTTTTGAACTTTAGTGTTGTTACGCTTGGCGAAGTGGTGAGATCATAAAGATCAGTACATGGGAAAGCTTTTAAAGGAAATAATTTTCTACAAATTGAAGATTTCAAAATGTAGTTAAATCCTCGGATACGTGTGAAGCGTTATTTTATCCGATATTAAATTTTTTATGTTTCTCTCGTTGATATGAGATGGAATATACATTTATAGATAGGATTACGCAAAAAATCCAATATACTGTAACGAATTTTGTACTCAGATAGATAATTTTAGTAGAATTATAAGTAAAATTGTTGTATTTCTTATGTAACACCCCCTCCCAAAAAATTCTAAAAGGAAGCTCTGCCGGAAACGTAAGAATAAATTCCAAAGAGTTATCAGGGGCAGGTGCATTTAACACTGAGTAAATGGGTATATCGGTTATTTGGCGATATTCCGCCAAGCTGACAACCGTTTTGATTATTTATTTTGTCGCCAAATTTTCCTCTCCTACCTTTTTTTTTTCCGCGGTGTACATCTGTACAACTGTTGGACAAAATGGCAAAATTTAATACAACGGTTGAAAAATGCACTTAGTGGTGCTGATAGTACATGCGCAATTCTTTTACGTCAGCATCATGTTTCGAATAATTGATTACACATAATTTCTTTTTATAATAATTTTGATAATTTTACTCTCAAATTGAGGATATTAAGCCCTTAGTTTGAACGAATATTAAGTGCCAAGCTCTGAAAGCAAATAAAACCTAAATTAATTTAGGTTTGTGATTTTTCTAAAAAATTCCATTCTGACAATTTGAGGGACCTTTCTACTAATTAAATGCCCCAACCACTCAGCCTCAAAATTATCTTAACTCTGGCAGCAAGGCCTTTAAGGGTACGGTGGACTTTAAAATAGCTAAAATATCAACCAAAATATTGAATTTGATTTTTTTTTTACTCTCATAATATTCCATATTCGTAACTACATCGTATGCAAAAAACCGAGTTCAAATATTCTAATTTTTAAAGAAGTTACAAGCACTTAAGATGTGTAAAAAACGTAAACTTTTCCCTTTAAATTTTGGAGAAAAATGTAAATAAACGTATTTCAAGAGTTATTTACTGATGTAATAATTTATATATTTGCTCAAAAGAAAAATTTATTTCTTTAAAAAAGGCTAGCAATGTCAAGTATTGACAACTATTAATGAATTTAACTTTGGTTATGTGAATACTATACGTCTAGAACAGGAAGAAACAGTCTCGTTTTTCCTACGCGTTCCAAAAAATCGCTTGAACCAAAGAAGCAAAAAGAGAAGTTTACCTGCTTGGAAAAACCAGAAATAGTAAAACAATATTGTAAAGTATTAAAAGATAATGTAAATGTAACAAGTGAAGGTAAAACACATGATGCGAGGGAATTTTAAAAGTTTCATTGGATATAATACATAAATTGTTTCTACCTCTAACTTCGAATCACGCATCAATTTGCGATATGTTTATTTTTCTGATTTTAATATTATGAGATTAAAAATAGTTAAATGATACGAAAATGTTATCTAGTGTCTACATATTCATATTTAAACTTAATTTACTGTTTCTCATGACCATATAATTAAAGGTAAGTTTGAAGAAAAACTTTAAACTCGGTTTTCTCAAAACAAAATTTTCGCAGTTTGTATGTCTCGAAAATGCTCCATGCGTCTCATTTTTAATTAAAAATGATTGATATTTGGAAGAAACTATCTTGTTATATGTTACAATAGATCTGTGTCTGCATTTTTGGATGTGAAGTTATTAAGAAGTTTAAACTTGTGATAATGTTTAACAAAAGGTGATATTTTTCCGAAACTAGGTTGAAGTTCACAAAAATCCTTTTTAAAAATTTTTGATCCATCATATTCAATAACGGATACACAAAAACTTTTCTTAAGTCTTTATAACTAACTTTAAGGAAAAATCAGGAAAAAATATTGAAAATTAGAGCGCAAGGGGCATTTTAAATCTTTAATTAAAATAATTATTTGTTTAAAAAATTTTTAATTTAAAATAAATTAAAATTTTGAACATATATTTTATAAACTGACGTTATAATACGTATTGATATAAAATTTCTTGCTGAAAACTCAAAAACTTAAAAAAACTAATTTTTAAAGTCCACTTCCCCTTAACTTTAACTGACTGTAGATATAACACGACGTGAAATGTTAATTTATCTTCGGAACTATTCGTGAGTTAAAATAATACAGAAGCAGAATCTAAATCTCTTCCATTTTCAGCTACTGACTGAAACGTTCAGTAATTTAACTAGCTACTATACCTGTACTCTTACTCGAAGCTAATAGCTCAGACAACTAGCCACATTTATCATACCAGGCCTAATGGCCGTCTATTAACCCCTTCGAGCCGGGTAGCGAAAACGTGCGCTTATCGCGGAGGCCGGCAGTGTCTTCCGCGAGCGTCTCTCCAGGGCCGGGGGCTTTTTTGCTACTAAGCCTAAATCCATGAAATTTCCGAAGTATCAACGCATTGTTTAATAATGCTCTATAGAGTATTTAAACGGCTTATGCTTTATAGATATTTTTATATATATATACTTTAATTACCTTATTTCTTGTTTAAATGCATATTTTACACATTTTATTTAATTACTCACCATTTTTTGACTTTTAACATTATACATCTGAAAACTAAATATATTACTTAAAATTCTCTTTTGTATGAAAAATTTTAAAACAGGATCTACACACAGTCCTACGTTACATTCCTTGAACTCGTAATAACTCATTTGCCGTTTTGGGAGGATTTTTCCGGGAATGTGAACAAACGAAGCACCGTCGTCTCATTTTCTTTCTTATCAGTCTCTTCTGAACAAAGTTTTGGAAAATGTCTTTCAGTTAATCTTTCAGAATCAATATCGGAATATCAGAATTTCAGAATCAATATCATGCTCTGTTAAACATTTTCGACGCTTCGACATTGAAACGGTAAGAACAGAAAGAATTCACGTCTAACAAGATCTAATTATTTTCTAAAAACTGAACTGTAAACGGAAATACTCAACGCTTTAGCGCATATAAAACTTCTACTTACAATAAACAACTACCACGTGTGAATAAAGTGCGATTTAAAGAGACGTCATAAATCACGCCATTCGGAAACATTTAGTTCCCCGTTTTGTTTATATAATCAAAAAACACGTGTATGTGAGTCATGCTTCTCTCATTTCGAGTAGAAGGTCTAATGCACATGTATCTGAAACCATATGGGCATACAGTGCCATCTTGTGGCAGAAATTATAGTTTGAAAAACGTTCCAAGGTACTGGCACAAATACGTGACAGTCGGTAGAGAATGCAACAATGCTCTGGCACGCCTGCGTGTCGGCCGGTAGATAAGTGTGTTCGTTGCTGGCACGTATACGTGACAGTCGGCGCGAAGGGGTTAAGACCTTCAATAAACATGGAATATTAATTCGTGAATAATTAAAAAAATATCTTATTAATCAGAATTTTCACTTTCCAAGAACCATACAAAAATTAAGATTCTTTAACAGAACCTTTCTCCTCAGAATAAATGCTTTCATAAATTTCTACACTTTTTAAGAAATTTTTTAAGTGGAAATACATACATATATATTATGAATTATTAAAGCCGTATACAATCCGTATATGCACAGATATAATATTCTTCAATGAAACGAAAGAGATTCTTGAAGCATATTTTTTATTTCTGTCAAAGAAAGGAAAATCACTTACAGAAAGATATTTCCCGTTTGCTGGAGCATCATCGATAACGTCGTAAACAATGACTCCGGCGGCGGGAGACAAGGTCTCATTCTCTCTAGGACTGATCGGCAGTGTTCGACCGGATGACCTGAGAATGAGCGGCCTGAAAGTCACGGAGATAGAATCTGATGTCCAAGGAAGAATTTCTGGGCTTCCTGAAGACGTTACTGTCAGGTGATAGCTGGAAACAAAAAAAATTTTTGATGAGTTATGCACTAACAGAGATTCCAACAAAGTTTAATCAAAATGTCTGCTAAAAAAGAAATAAAAACAGATAGAGGGAGAGGTTTTTTTTCCTCTCTTTATATGAAACGAACTCACATTCAAGCTCCTTTTCCAAAATGCATAACAATTTACATGTTTAATATGCATACTTTTGCATATGCATGATCGCTTACACGTATACATACATTAGCCATCATCTTCTTTACATATAATAAAAGAAAGAGTCGACCTGTGTGTGTGTCTTTCGTTCGCGCTGCGCGTAAGCTAATAGACCCACGGCTACGAAATATGGTACATAGGTGCATCTAGACAAGAGCCAGTGCACCTCGAAGCGATTTCTTCGAAATTCGAATTCGAATTTTTTTAACTTTATGTTTCGTGATGAAATCGAGTCATTTTGAGACATAATGGGCCTATAGGAAAGCGAGAATTTTAATAATCTACTACACGCTCCATTTTCACATCGTCATGAAATGTAGGCACTTAGCTATTTTACGAACTTAAAATAAATTTCGTGTTTCAATAAATCGATTCAAATACGAATTTATTTAGCAAAAAATTATGAAAAGGTAGCTTAACTTAATATCTTTTCAACAGGATTTTTTTCTAAAAAAGTTTATTTTTAAAAATGTCCAGTTTATTTTTCTTTGATTTTTGGACACGTTAAACTTTCATCCTTGCGACTGCTTTTGCAAAAGGAATTTTGGAAAAATGATGTTATTTTGTATTCCGAGTACACTTCTCAAATCTCACATATTTAAAAATGTGATTTTGGCAAGAATTTTCTTTTCTTATTGTCGTTGATAGATTTTTGATGAAATCGCATCATCAAAAATCTATATGTCACTGCTTTTAAGAGATTGGCATATTTCATTATCATTTTTATACATATATAATACATTTTCATTAATTTTATTTATAAAGTTGTTCTGCAGAGTAAAATTCTGCGCGGAATTTTATGTTTTTTGAGTTGCTTTTATGTATTTTTTGCTGATTTCACTGTTTGTAAGATATTGAAAAGTTTTGCATGATTTTTTTTTCCTTCAACGGAAAGTTGGTTAATTTTTTATTAGGATAATTAATATTTGTATTAAGAGATATAGCTTATTTCATTGTAATTTTTTCCTCTTGAAAATATAAGATAAAATATCATTAATTATACTTTGCTTTTCAGAATTTTTTGCTTATTGTATTCTTTTATGTTATTTATTGCTCATGTCAGTGTTTTTAAGATATTGAAAAGTTTTGAGTGATTTTTTTTAGGAAACAAAATTCTTAACCTCCTTTATACCATTTGAGTTCTTAAGATTTTGCAAGGGGAAGTAGATTAATTTATTTATTAGGATAATTAATATTTTTATTATGGGATATTGCTTATTTCATTGTAATTTTGTTATACGTAATAACTTTTTTATGAAGTTGTTCTGCAGAGTAAAATTCTACGCAGTTTTTAAATTTAACGTTTGGTGTTCTTTTCAGCTATTTTTCCGGTACATTTAAAAGCCAGACGAAGGCTGGCAGCAAAGCTGCTAGTATCATCATAATAAGGTAATCTGGCATACGGAATTGAAAGCGAAAAGCGCATTTGCTTCACTGAACCAATGCATTGTTAACCCATCCTTCGTCATTAGTTTTTCACTATTTGATTAAAAATATGTGTATGTATGTAAACTAAATGCATGTATCCAGATTATCCGTATTTAACTGGATTTTAACATAATACCAAAGGTGAATAAAATCAATTTTTACTTCCGAGTTATAATAACAATAGGAAACAACTCATTATGTATGCAATTTTTGTACAAAAAAAGTGTAAGATTTCTTTCGTAAGAAAAAAGCAGCTATAAAATTGATACAGAATATGGTCTAAAATTCGCGTGAAAAGAAAACTACGTTTTAATAAAAATATCCTAAAATCTCTGCAGTCACAATCAAAAAAATTCGGTCGAATACATTGAAAACTAATTCATGGGGAAAAAATCGTAGTACATTGTCAAGCACATATTCGAAATTCAGGCCAGCTAGTAGACATATAAAAATGTTTATAACTGGCCCGTATTTACTGAAAGACCTACATTTATGTCCCAGAAAATGATTGATATTGATTCATTTAGTCTCGGCTTAGTGTTCCAGCTGTCACAATATCTTAATTCTTTGGTCTTGTACTCAAGCTACTTCGTAATAGAAGCAATTCTCCGATGAGACAAAAGTCTGAAGAAATGATTGCTGTCGTAGCGAAGTTTTCCATTTCCAATATTTTTTTTCTTTATAGACAATGATGTTAAACTACAATTCCTTGCAGAATTACGGAAACAGTCGATAACTATCTGCAGACCTTTAATAAATAATAGATGTCAGCCAAGTATCACTCAGATTTGAGTCACCAAATCAAAACTAGGACTTCAGAAATGTAGGCCAATAAATATGTTAATTTATATGAACCCAAATATCATATAAAGTATATAGATATTTGGGAAAATAATGATATGAAATATCATACACTTTTAAAAATGTTTACAGCAAAATGATAGATTATAATCCAAAATAAGTGGTAGTTGGTAATTTGAAATACGATGTTGCTTCTAAAAAATTTATAAAAAATATTAAGCCCTCTTTGGAAATAATAATCTTAAAATCATAAATATGTTACACCTATTTTAAAAAGAATTAATTATAAAAATCTGAAAAGTTTCAGATTTTACATTACGACCAAAGAGGCATTTTTTTTTTTTACATTCTGTGCATTACTTTATTTATTATATACCCTGATCTTCGTCCTTAAACCATAAAATTCAATTCAACAGCAACATCGCAAAATAATTTTAAAATGTGCTTATCTTTAGAATTTCTGATACACCGTCTCGCGCGCTGGATACAATTTTTTTTTTCCTCGTACAGTTTCACCATTGCTCGCTTTGAAATCGCTCGGTTTGTTAATCCAAAATTCGTGCAATGCTGCAAATTATGAAATCGATAATAAAACAAATTTCAAATTAGGGCTTCCAGATTTCCATATTCGGTGGAGGATTACGTGATTCAAAATTTGATGGCTCTAGGTACCGTTGTTTTATCACAATGCGAGGAAAATGCATACATTCATGCAGATTCTTCATTATTTAATTTCTTTAAATATAATACAGGGCGATAATATTTGGTGACAACAATTTGAAAAGTGAAACCCACATTTATAGTGAATAGACGCAAAATGACGTTTTGTGACTAATAATCCTCCTATGCTTTTGGCTAAAAATAGATTCAATTTGAAGGATTTAAAAATCTTTAAGTATCTTATATTTTGCCGAATGCCAACACACTCGAATCAAAAGTGATAGCGGTTCAACTCAAAATCCCATTTTGAGAAGTCGATTTTAGACTAATAAGTAATTTCTCAAATTTCTTGAAAACGCAGAACTTCACGATTGATTCTTAAAAGTTTCATAGCTCAATTGTTTAAAAGATTTCTAAGGGAAGAACAATTTTAAAATTTACTGTTTAAATTAACTATATTCTATAAAATAACAGAACAGAGTTAATTTATATATTTATATATTTATTATAGGACATAGTTAACTGAGACTTAAAAGTTATTTAAAATAAGTTTAAGTCTCAGTTTTAATACAGCGTAAAAAGAAATATCTATATAGTTATGAAATTATATCTATTAACATTCCTCTGAACTTTAAGGCCAGTCCCATAAATTTCTGAAACATGTTTATCGTAATTTCATTTCATTCGTTATAATCGCATTAGCACGTTTAATTAAATGAATGCTTCCTCCGAATTACAATATTTTAATTAGCATTGTTATTAAAATGCATTTCATTTCCATAATCAATGCCGTATGAACAGAAACTACTTCGAAATTTAAATGCAGAATGACATAATTCACAGTGAATTATTATTTTATTGAGAGATATTTTCAACCGACAGCCAAAAGACTTACTCTTGAGAGACTAAACCTGCATTCCAAATTGAAAATGGGATTAATATTTCACATATAAAAATGTTATTTTTAATAAATCCCATGAAAATTGAATTTATAATAATCTTAATGCGAAAACTTTTAAAGGAAAATTCTTTTCGAAATAAAGTTTAATATCCAACGTAGTTCCTTTAATCTAATATTAAATTTAAGAGGAGATTTAATGTAAGCTTTTAAAAGTTTTCCAAATTAAAATGCATCCGCATATTCTTCCCTTTCAAAGAATAGTTTTTTAAGATGTGTTTGAACATGTAAAGCAAAATTTTCTGCGATTAACTTTTTATTCTTTTGCGAGAAAATAAATATTATATAGAAAAACAGAAACTAGTTAGTGTTTTAATTTTTCGCTCTTATGTTCTGAGATTAATAAATGGTGAGCAAAATGAACGTGGCGTACATTCTTTAAAAATTCTTTCCTCTGAGAAAGCTTAAATAGACACAAATGCGAGAGTCGGGCTCTTTCAGATCGCTTCAAATGGAAAATATTGTTAGGTGAATCTTTACATTATGGTAACTTGGCAATTTTTTGGCGAAAATTTGGCGACCAACCCTGCTACAGCAACCTGATAGTTTTGGTTTGGACGCCATTTTGTTTTCACGAAGTAAAGGCATTTTTTTTCCCCCCTCAACATTTTTCCAACAATCTGCTAGCCGATTCACGCTTATACTAGAACTTTTATGGAACAAAAATGCTTAATCATGACGAAGATTAGGTGACGAATCACAAATGACGAAGATTAGGTGCGAAATTGAGAGAAAGTGCAGAATAGCAAACTGCTTGCCGCGTTTTTAAGAATTGCACATACACGGTATCCATGTACACGTCGACCTATTTTCACTTAAAACAGAATCCCAGAATTGCACAAAAATGGCATTGCGCACACTCTTGACTTTATCTATGCACACATCGATCTATTTTGACTTAAAAAGTCAAAGAAAATTGACAAAAATCCAATTCTTCTTACTCTTGTAAA